ATGTCATAAAGGCTTAGTCATGTCTCTTGACCAAGCAATGAGCTGGTGCCCTGACATGGGACCAGCTATGCAATATGGATGGTGAGGAATGCGGTGTCATTTGAAAGTATGCAATACCAGATTGATCCTCCAAAGAGACACTGTGAGCTTATGCAAAGGTATGTTGTACTCAAGTGAGATTAGGTGTCCATCCAGGAGATGTTGACCATTCTCAGGAAAGCAATCTCTCCACTCTTTGACAAGGTGGTCCAGCTCAAATGATGACCCTGAAACAAGGGATCCAAGCCACCCAAGATTGTGGAACCATTTCATATATTGGGGCAACTAGTACTGTGCATAGAACAGGACAGGAGTAATCAATAAAAGGAGAGCTTTACACATACACTGTCTCTCACATTCAGTTATACACTGATGATGTGAGAAACGCAAGGATTCCACAGGTGGTACATGCCCTTGAGGGCAGCATCAACACAGTCAGCTGGAGCTTCCAAGCAGCAGACAATTGTGTGACCTATTTGTGCACCCTGCTCCTGGGCCTTGATGCACCTAGCATTGATAGCAGCATCAAACCCTTCATTGACTTTAGACCTGATATCCTCACAACCAGTGCAAAGACCAATTACATCTGCAACATTGAAGCATGCCTCAAGAAACCCTGTCATGTGCATGTATGTCTGCATGTAGGCCTGTACTTTGCAATGGTCAAGCTCAGGATCAGAGAGGTGACAGTACCCTGCGACAACAATGGCAAGAGCAGGGGAGTCCTTGGTGTCAAAGATAGGGTGATGATCACCTGCACCAGCTTCAGCAAGGGTAGGTGCGTACTTGGTGTTGAGGTTAGGGTGATGATCACCTGTGCCACAACAAGTAGGAGGGTTGTTACTGTGACTTTCCATATTGAAGTTGATTTGACAAAACTGTACAGTCTGAATACAAGATTTAGATAGAGATCAAAGAGGAGGAGGAGAAAGGGAACAGACAAATGGAGTATTCAGTGTTGAGGTGGTGGTACACTTGTAAGAGCTGGCAAATGCTTCTGTGTTGCCCTGGCACAGGAATCATAAAGCTTCCACTAGATGCAGCAGCACATGGATTGGCGTCTATTCCAGCCAAAGGCTCACATTGACTCACAGTGACCTCATGCAGTGTATAATATGAGGATAGGGTGATCATGACCCTATCCTCAACACCACACCACATTGTAGGTGAATCAACCTAGCACACCAGATTGATCATGCATGTAACAGTACAATTGACTTGATTGTACTACTAATGAGACAAGGGTTATGCAGGATGTGTGGGTAAAGTTGACAGTTGCAGGTGCTACTATGTATACTAGTGCAGGCAAGAAGAAACGTGCTGCTAAAAAGGAATGGTGGTCATGAAGTTCATGGTGCCCTGCCAAATGATTGGAAGAGTGCTATCATCAGACTCAGCCTCCTGAGAGGCATTGTTATGGGGTTTGACCACTAAATGCAGCATTAGCACTGGTACAGCTGAAGTGAGAAAAGGTACTTATGGTACATGATCAGCACAATGAAGCCCACAAGGAGGAGAAGCCAGAACAGGCTGCAAGCTATCTTCTGAGCCTTGTGAGTTGTACAAGAATTGCCGAAGGCCTGGAAGCAGGATGAGCACATCCACAGCATGACATGGGTCATAGCAATGCAGACATTGCCCCCTCCATTGAGGCAGTCAACAGTAGTGTCGCAAAGGTGACAGCAAAGAATGCAGCCAGCAGTTGCCTTGTAGCTAATAGCTGCAAGGTGCTCCAACTCCTTCTTCTCAGCCACAGTAAGCTTGACCTGTTTCTTCTTGTGCATGACATTGACAACCTTCATTGCAGGGCCAGTGCTAGGTGCCATGGTCACAGTTGTAGGCTGAAAAGAGTCAGCAAGCAATTGAAAACCAATACAGCACTGGGAGTACTGGATGCACTACATTACCAGCACCCTCTGCCTTGATCTTCTGCTCCTGGTGGTCTGCAGGTGCATGGATGTGGAACCTGCATTCCTTGTCATCCACATACTCCAACCCACTCACATCCCCTTCATCCTCTGCTTCCTTGTTGACTTCTCCACCATGGGTAGCCTGCTCAGCAATAGCAGACATGGCAGCAATAGCACCTGCAACAGAAGCACTGGCACTGAGAGTGAGATTGTCAATAGGACTGCTGTTGGTGAGCAAGTCAGTGCCTGCTTGGAGCAAACCATCCTCAGCTTGAGCAAGCTCTGCAGCGACAACATCACGATGCAACTTGTAGTGATAGGCATGTTTTTCTTCATCCACCTTCTTCCAGTTGACAGCTTGACTGACAGTGTTGGCTTTCTTTTTGGCAGCTTTGAGAAGTCCAGACATTGTGTTAGAGTAGGTGGTTGATCAAGAGAGAGAGAGCAGATGAGACCAGAATGTGATGCCAGCAGGGACTGAAGAAGGGACTTATGGAAGCATTCTTGATGCAAATCTGAAGTGAGTGGCAGAAGCCCCTATCTTTGTCTTTGTATGAAGATGTGGATTATTGTTATATATTAATTATATATGTAGCTAAGAAGACATACAGAAGTAGGAAAATAAGTTGGAATGAAGTGAGTAGGGTGATGATCACCTGCACCTGCTACAGAGAGTAGGGACATACTTGGTGTCAAGGATAGGGTGATGATTGCCCTGGCAAAACATGGAGCAGGTAGGAATGTCTTGGTGTCAAGGATAGGGTGATGGTCATGGGGAGGGAAGCCTTGGTGAGGATAGGGTGATGATGCCCCATGCCAGCCAGAGAGGACAGGAGTGCTCTTCAGTCAAGAATAGGTTGGCAATTGTAGGGATCAGCAAGCCAGTTATTCTAGTCAAGGAGAGGGAGATGATCACCTGCTGCGAAGAGCCAACAGGGGTGTATGCAACTGAGACTCCAGTAGAGGGGACCCAGTTGCAGGTCGTCATGTTCAAAAGAATTTGTCAAATCAGCTAATCCAGAGAGGCCAAGGACCCCCGCTCAGCAGTCAGAGGGATTCAAAGGGAAAAATAGTTGCTGTGTACCTTGTTACCCTGAACCCAGCTTGTCATCTGGCCCAAGAAATCCAGGACCACCAGTCAAAAATTATTAGAAGATCCAAAAGTCACAGCATTCCCTGGGCTTTTGAGTCAAATGGTGAGATTGCATAGAGGGAGTGTAAGGAGAGGGTGATGGGAGGGAGGGGAAAAGACAGGGAAGGAGGAGATGGAAGGGAGGAGTTTTGGGGAGGGAGGGATGGGAGGGATGGTAGGAGGATGGAGCAAGGAAGGTTGCGGAGTGGGCTCAGGGTTCTGTCCCATATGTTGCCTCATAGCATTGAACTGCATCAACCTGCAGATGCAGCTGCATCACCAACGCCACTCTGAGTTTGGTGGGAAATCAGTACACGCTGCATAGAGCACTCGATACTATTCAAAATGAAAATGGGATTAAACAAATATCATTCAGACAGCCTATATACATGGATCTCTCTACAGGTGCAAAAGGCACTGATGATGTGGAAGGTTCCCAAAATGTGGGTGTCAGTTGGGGTGCAGTTTAATGCAGCTGCATATGCAGTGAAATATCCCTACCCTCTCTGAAGGGAAGTGTGGAGATCCTGGCTATAGACCAGAACTGGCAGTGCTTCTGAAGGCGCTTGGCCAAGATCAACCTTGAATCACTTTCATACTGTGCATGGAACAGTTTCAATTGGAGGTTGTGTTGATCCTGATGTGTTCAATGTGCAGAAGCTCAATGTCACATTTGAGCTCATGTTGCAGGGCTCACTTCTCCCAAATTGTCAAAGGCAGCATCCATGTGTCTTTGGGCCATATTGGAGTGGTTGAATGTGGGAGAGCACTGGCATTTCTATCCCATGGTGTTTGATAATGATGGCTGTGTTGTTTGATGGCAAAGTGCCAATATTCAATCAGAAGGTTGCAAGCACAGATTGTTGCCTGTGTCAGTTAACAGGGTGCCACCCTCTCTGATGAAGATCTCTTGGTGCCAATGTAATAAGTCTGTCTGATGCCTGCCCAGTTCATTAATCATTGCTTACCTTTGGAAGAGTATGCAGAAACGTCCTTGCCAATATTTGATTGCCCTGGTGAGAGAGTTGATGGGAACTGGTGCCAGCAGAGGATGAATGAGGGACAAAATACTCACATGTGTCAAATAGGTGTTCTACATGTGCATTCCCCACAAGGTTTGGTTCTTTGGGATGCTTATCCCGTTTGGACAGTGGCCCCATACTTGATTAAACTGGCTTCCCCAACTACTTTCATACACCAGTCCGGCTGAGCATAGGCATAATGTAGGTCTTCTAGCATCAATGAATTGCATAATCAGGACATGGATGGCTGCAGGAGCTTGATGGTATGAGTCAAGAGATATCCTTGAGTCAGTGTAGTTGATGTTGTCATTACCTAAATCAATATATATATATATATATATCCCTCTAGCTGGGCTGAAAACAAGATATAAGAGGAGGAATGTATGTTGGTTGTACTCTACACCTCCCAATGAGGCGTCAGGAGAAGGTCAGCTGGAGGGGGAGTCGACAGTGGTGGCCCATACTCCATAGCAGGTAGCAGGTCCTGTGTGGGCTCCAAAGCTGGTTGCAGCAATCCAAAGGGCGTCTGAATGAGAGAAGGAGTGTGGAATGGGATGAGTGAGGTGAACAAGAGGTATTTGAAGGTCAAAGGGGTCAAATCAAGGCTCAGATCAGTCTAGGAAGGAGCTAAAGCAAGGAGTGACTTTAAAGTAAAGCAGTAGTATCAGTTGTAAGTTAGAGGAACACCCGTCTTGAATGAGTGCAGTAGTGGGTAGTGGGAGAGGAATCTGATGTCCCTATCCAAAGTATCCAAATCCACCTATATACATTTGGAGCAGTTCAGACCTTTGGACTACTACTAAGCTATGTCTAATCTACATTACCTAATGCTATGTCTAAGGGTCCACCTCTTGCTTCCAATAGTCCAGTCTGGCTGAGTTCAAGGTATTGTTTGAAGAGCCTTTCAAAGGTCAGATTTGAGCTCAAAACTTGAATGTGCAGCACAATGTTAAAGCTGACACAGGTGAATGTTAGGTCCATGCTGTCTAGTTCTGTCATATATCCTAGGTATGATGTCAGCCCAGGATATTGTCACTGATGCTCTGCATGGTGTAGACATGCTGGTATGGGTGTTGTCATGGATAAATCACTGGGATCACCATCATTGTCAATGAGAATGGATGACAGTAGTGAAGATTCTGCTGATAGAAGAGTTAATGGTGATGCTGCCTCCAAACAGGAAAGATGTACAATCTGGCTCTTGAGCTGCAGCAAGAAGCTCATGCTCAAGATCATTCACATCTTCCATATCTGGGTTGATAGATGAACCAATGTCTTGAGCATGAGCCAGCTCAAAATCATGCTGGTTTTGACAGGCATCTGCAACAACAGTGCAGCAAATAAGCTGCTTGATAACATGATGCAAAGAGCATACCTCATTATCCAGAAGGTCTATCTCACTCTCTTCCACATCCTGATCAGCTGCTGTATCCACATCTCTCTCCCAATCTCAAGACTTGCATTGGTTGTTCACAACATGATCTTGTTAGGGCAACACAGGCTGACTAAGTCTGCTCACCTAAGAGTGCCAAGAGTCTAA